CGTTCATGCGTCGCGCCGTGTAATGTCTGCATGGCAATTGCTGTTGCGGCACGACGCAATAACTCTGCCCCAAACTCGTAATTATTCGGCCCGACTTTGGATGCTCGTCGCCGGCACGTAATCGGCGCGTCGCGCCACGGCGGCCGGAGTCATCGAAGCCGACGCGAAAAACATCGCAGGGTCCGCGCCGTAGATCACCGGTAGGTCATCACTGACGCATCGACGCGGCATCAACGTGTAGTCGATGACGCATAGATGAGAGGATGCGAGAGGAGGGCGCGGCGGGAGAGGGCGGGGCAGCTCAGGGCGCCCCAGCGCGGCCAACCATGAACAGCAGGAGGCCGAGGAGAAGGGGCGATCACGACGCAGAGGAGGCAGCGTAGGAAGGAGGGGGCAAGTTGCGAGATGAGGTGGGAACGGGGGGGGGGGGGGGCTGGGGGAGGAAGGGGGGGTGAGAGGCGCGGGTGGGGCGGAGGAGGAGGGGGATGAGGTGCATTACGCCACGGGGAGAACGGGCGTGGAAGGGGGGGGGCAAGGGGACAGAGAAAGAGGAAGAGGGGCATCGATGAGGGAGATTGGAGGAGGGATGAGGGATGATAGTGGAGGGGGGGAGGCAGGGGGGGAAGAGGGGAGAGGCAGACTGACGAGGAGGAGCAGTTGGGGGAAGAGGGGGATCAGGAGAGGATGAGGACGACGACAACGAGGACGAGGACGAGGATGGCGGAACATGGAGGAAACGAGTTTGAAGAGGCGTGCGATGACGCGAAGGAGTTGGAAGAGGACGATGACGAGCTGGAAATAGAGGGGGTGACAAGGCGAAGGGCAAGGACGAGGAAGTGCATCAGAACGAGCAGGAATGCGTTGACACGAACGAGGAGGACCCGGATAGAACGTAGAGGAGACACTGCAGGAAAAAGAATTGGGGGGCGGGGCTGGGAGGTGGCAAAATGACAGGAGGGGGGTGGAATCACGAGTGCCGACGCGCGCCCTCGCAACGCGTGAACCATGCTTAACGTTGAAAGGAAATTCCGACGGGGGCCTGCGTTGAAAGTCCAGGGGGGGTGGCGAGGCAGGACAAGAGACACGATGCGCAGCGAGTGCCGCGAGGAGGCGGAGGCGGGAGGTACAAGGTGTGACTGGAGACTCTCTCCTCCTCCTCGGCTCTGACGGGAAGGAGGGAGGAGCGGGGCGATCGCGGGTAGGGGCAGGAACAGGAGTGCGAGGGGGATGTCGAGGACAACGACGACGCCGAGGACGAGGAGGCGAAGGGCGTCATCATCACCATCATCATCATGTTCATCACCACCGCCAGCGCATGCACAGTAGACGCAGGGGCAACCCATAGCAGTGAGCTCGAGTGCTGTGCGTGGGCGCCTCGTCTTGCGCGTCGGCGTCAAACAAACGATCATCGCGTCGTCAACGCGCGCTAAGATCATGTCGGACATTCTCAAACAGCGCGAACAGCAATGGCTGGTATTCCACTGCGAGGTCACCATCTTACCGGACACAGTATTGTAGTGGCCTCCGGCCAGTGCCGCCGATCCGGAGCGCTCCGGGTACCTGTGGAAATGAGCGACGACGAGGAAGACGAAAACGACGACGAAAACGAATACGTCGACGACGACGACGACGAGAGCGACGACGACCACGACGACGACGACGACGACGACGGCGATGACGACGACGACGCGAGCGACGACGACGACGACGACGACGACGATGACGCGAGCGACGACGACGACGACGACGACGACGCGACGACAACGACGACGACGACGACGACGACGGGGGGGGGAGCTGGGTTGCAGGGGGGGGGTCTGCTCTGCAGAGAGGGAGGGGCTGCGGGGGAGAGGGGGGGTCCGCTCTGCAGGGGGGGGGGGCTGCAGGAGGGGGGGTCTGCTGCAGGGGGGGGGGGGGGGGGGGGGCAGGGGGCGGAGGGGGGGGCGCGGGAAGGGGGGTCTGCTCTGCAGGGGGGTGGGTGCAGGGGGGGGTCCGCTCTGCAGGGGGAGGGGGGGGGGGGCTGTAGGAGGGAGTTCGCTCGGCAGGGGGGGGGGGGTCTGCTCAGCTGCTCAGCTCCGCAGGGGGGGGGGGGGGGGCAGGGGGAGGGGGGGGGGGTCCGCTCTGAGGGGGGCGGAGGGTGTCGATTTCTCTCGGTTCGCCCTAGTGGGCAGTCATTCGCTCTGTCCATAGCCATTTGGGCTACAGGCCTTCAGCGGGGCCACGGGGGCCCCGGAGGTAAGAGTACCTCCCTCGCCTTTCCTATTCTATCAACATCGAGCCCAATGCTAACACTCCATATCCAATGCCCTACCTCTCCCAGCTCGGCAGTGCGTGCGTGTTTGAGCAGGTGCCAGAGGAGCGCCTCGCGGGGACCAGCATCGAGGACGGTTGCTGGCTGTGTGGAAAAGGAGCGCGCCCTGTGAAGCTTCGCTTCACATGGTAGCGGAGCAGGTTTCTGCTCCACGGAGACATGACGGAGGTCATGAAGACCCCGACGGTGCCGACATGGAACGGTGGTGCCGGCACATGGGAGAAGTATCAGCAGGACGTGATGAACTACGTGGATGGCACGAAGAGGGAGGACAGGTACCTGCGCGGCCCCAGGTTGGTCGCTCGGCTGACAGGTGCAGCGGCAACAGCTTGCATCGGCCGGCCTCGCGGGTGGTTGTCCAACTCCTGGGGTGCGGATTACCTGCTGGAGTACTTACAGTATAATGTTATGCGACAGCCGGTCGAGGACGTCGGGCGCTACATGGAGGAGTACTTCGTGAAGCTCCGCCGCAGGCGCGGCGAGGGCATGGCCGAGTACTGTCTTCGTGTGCACGAGAGCTACCAGCGTCTTCGAGTGGCTCTAGCCAGGATGGCCCGGAAGAGCGGCAAGGACAAACTCATCCTGGACACGCCGAATACCCAGGCAGCTTCATTCAGTCAGTGGCCGACGGGTGGCCAACCTAGTCCAGGTGACGCTTCATGGCGCCGCGTCGAGAGTGAGGGGGGCACTCCCGTGGGCGATGAGGAAGCTCCTGAAGTGCGAGACTAGCACGTTCCCGAAGCTCAGCGGCACGGACAGGCGTGGAATGGTAACCACAGATGGCAAGACGGGTGGCGTAACAATGGATGGCAGAGCTGGGACAGATATCCGTGGGCCCAAGGCGGGGCCAGAGGCAGCAGCCTATGTTCTTTCCCCGCCCATGACTTGCCGGAGGTGCTGCCGAGTGTGATCAGAGGATGGTATTTACTACACCGCGCAGGCCTGGACGGCGGCGAGAAAGCAGCAGTGATCGGATCCTGTCGTGGTGATTTCGGAGTAGATAACGTTGAGGGCGCTCTCAGGACCCAGTGGCCTAGCGACGAGAACCTGAAGGACAGGGACTACAGGAAGTCGAAGTTCATTCGACAGCAGGTGGCCGCGGCGGCGTTCTACGGGGGCGACGCGCAGACCTGGGGCGACGGCGACGAGAGGGGCAGTGCCCTGGCCGTGGCGTCGACCATGAAAGGCGAGGAAGAAGGCATCGACGACGAGGCCTACGCGACAGCGATCACTGAGGAGGAGGAAGCACACGTCCAGTTCCAGGCGAGCCAGAGAAGGCTTCAGGATGCACGGCAGCAGATCAACAAGCACCGCACCGGCAGGAAGTTCTTCGGCTCTGGAGGGGGTCAGCGCAGTGACGGACGTCAGGGTCCGTGCCTCAAGTGCGGAGGTGCCCATCGCACTGGGGGCTGCCCAGACAGGGCGGGCCCCGAGTTGGGCCAGGGCCGCCCGGCACCTGGCCGGGGCGGCGGCGACGGCGGCGGCGAGCTCCACGGCTTCATTTTGATGGCGGAGTACGACGGCCCCTCAGAGGACGAGACCGAGCTGCAGGTAGAGGAGCTCGGCAACGCGATGGACTTCGACGACCCAGAGATCAGGATGGCGTACATCGTCGAGGGGGCCACCGAGAACGGGCGCGGCATCATGGACTGCGGGGCGACGATGACCATTGGCGGTATCGAGGCGGTGGAGACCCTCAACGAAATCTTGATTTCCAGGGGGCGCCCGCCGATGGAGGTCGACCTGCAGGACCGGCTCGTCTACAAGTTCGGCAACGGCGAGGTGAAGCGTGTCCTGTGCCAGGTCAAGTTTACTCTTCTGGTGCAGGGAGAATACGTGTCGTTTTTTGTCCACGCGATCGACGCGAAGGGTATTCCCATCCTGGTGCCAATCGAGGCGCTGAACAATTTGGGGGCCATCGTGGATTTCGAGGCGGCCTGCGTGATCTTCAAGAAGATCGACCCGTCCAGGATGATCTCGTGCCCCAGGTCCCGTGCCGGCCACCTACTGATCGACCTGGCGTGCGACTTGCTGGGCGACACGGCGATCGTCGAGAGGCCGGCAGATTGCATTCTGAGTCGGGGAGTGGCAGCACTTGCAGACGAGCGGGTTCAGGCAGGCGAGGAGGCGCCTGAGCCTGGTGCGCCATGCATCCTTCCCTCCTCATCGTCATCACCTCTGGCGTTGGCGGCGTCTATCACTGACAGCAGTGGAGGTTCAGAGGCACCCTCAGGCCCCACAGGGACACCATGTACATCCTCTGGGCCTCGCAGGACATCGACGGGAGCTCCGAGTAAGACTACGAGGTTCTCAAGTATATCTACTAGCTCACAGAGTACCTCTACGGGATCCCCAATAGGATCTGCGAGTCCACAGAGTAGGTCTACAGGGTCACAGAGTAGGTTGACAGGTTTACAGAGTACCTCTACGGGATCTCCTGGAGGCTCCACAGGTCCGCAGAGTAGGTCTACGAGCCCAGGTGAGTCCAGGGAACCTAATCAAGGTGTCTTGGGAGATCAAGCATCCAGAGGGCCTCCTCGGGGCCCCCGAGCAGAAGACTTGGCCCTACGGAAGGCCGATGCCAAACTGAATCCAAATCCAACATGGTCAACAACACTACAGTCCCAGAGTGCGACGGCTCAAGCGTCGGCTTTCGCGGGTATCCCGCCGACTCCTGACGTCCGATCAGATGTCTCAGCACCCGGCCACGTCCGGCATGCGCAAGGCAGAGCTCCTCACAGAGCTGGCGCTATGGGACGAGGACGGCACCCACATGACGTGCGAGATGCTGCGGGCCAGGCTGCGCCAGATCTACAAGGCAATGCCAGTCGGGGGCGCTCCCGCGCGCCACAAGAAGAAGGCCGAGCATGTCGAGGATGCGACTGCCATGGGCTGCGTCCTGACGGGCAAGGAGACGCGCGGAGACCTCCAGATCCTGATCACCGAGAAGCACGTGCAGTCTCTGGTGATGGTCAAGGGCTCCGACACGACGCCGTTCGGCCGCCGCCGGACGTTGACCATGCAGGAGCTGCTGGCGGAAGGAGCGGGAGTACGCCGGGTGGCTGGTGAGCATGGACAATCCGCGCTTCAAGCGTCTCACCGACTGGCTGGTCATGAAGGGGGTCAAGCCCGAGGACACGATGAACAAGCTCGAGCTGCCTCAGCCCAGGGTGAAGGGGGAGAAGTTCGAGAACACGGAGGGCCCGTGGCTGCTGGTCAAGGATCAGCCGCGTCAGCGTTCGACGGTGAAGCGCTCCATGGCGGAGGAGACCGCCGCGATGGATCTGGGGAAGTTCAAGGAGGAGCAGATCATCGACCTGCTCGGGGACATGAAGATGGCCATGAACGCGCTCACGACCAGGGCGCAGAAGGTGGAGGAGACGAGCTCAGCGCCGAGCGGCCCGCCTGGGCCGGCCGCGCAGGGCCACTGGGGGATCTCACGGACTCTCAGGCTACCTGGCTGGCGGGGTGCCTGGACAAGAGTGCAACGCCAGCTTGGACGCTCCTGACCGGGGCCGCGAGAGTGAAGCTAATGGAGGTCTGTTGCTCACCGGCGTCGGGCCTGTCTCAATTCGTGACGCAGGAGTCGGGAGTGGACAGCGCAAGTCGAATTAGTGGCTGGAACGGTTTTGATTTATCCACCACTGCAGGCCTGCAGAAGGCCAGAGCTGAGCGAGAGCGAGTACGTCCTGAGCATATGTGGTTCTCTCTACCTTGTGGGCCATCATGGTCAAGCAATAACAATTTCAATCGTAACAAGCCAGAGGTCTGGGAGCATATTCTTTTGAGTCGGAAGAAGTCAAAACGCCTCATCAGGAACTGCCTGATCCTCGTCATGGACCAGGTAGCGGACAGAGGTCACGTACACTGGGAGCGGCCGAAGGATCTGCAGCCGTATCGGTGGCCAGAGCTGAAGCAGGTATTCAGGGAGTGCGACATGCGTCCGGTGGTCTGTGACGGCTGCATGCTGGGCGTCAAAGCTCGCGATGCTGGTTTGCCGATGGTCAAACCCTGGGAGATCTGGACCACCTCCGACTGCATGTGCCAGAGGATGGTTATCAGGTGCGATGGGCGTCATGAGCACAGTCCTTGTGTCGGCGGCGCGAGGACGGCGGCCACTGCGTACTACCCAGACGGTTTCGTCAAGAGGGCGGCCAGGGCCATGCTGGAGGAGCTGAAGATGGAGGAGATCTGCAACCTCGTGCGCGAGCTCGAGACCGCGGACGAGGAGACCGACACAGTCTACGCAGTGAGCGCCTCGAAGACAGGGATCGACTCCAACGAGCTTCGGAAGGTGGAGATCGCGGCCCGGCGGATCCACGCCGCTTGCGGACACTGTCCGTTCGTCCAGGTCGCTAGGTTTTTGGCAGCTCGAGGGGCTGATAAGAGGATCGTGGAGCACGTGAAGGACATGCGGTGCCCGGCCTGTGACGAGAGCCAAAAGCACGGACCTCCACGTCCAGCCGGTTCGGCGGATGAGGTGCCGAAGAAGTGGGCAGTTTTGCAGAGCGACCTAGCCGAGTGGGAGGATCCGTGCAGCCACGAGAAGTACAAGTTAGCCCTGTACCTTGACCAGGGTTCGAAGCTTGGAGTTGGACACGTTCTGTTCAGGATGGTCAAGAGTAAGAACGCGACCGCCGAGGAGCTGAAGGACTCGATCTGGAGCAGGTGGATCGCCTATTTTGGACGTCCGAGGATATTTCAGGTCGATCCAGAGGGCGCCTGGATGAGCAAGATCACCCGGGAAAACCTGGAGTCCAGCGGCATCCAGATGGACCCCGTCCCCGGGCAGGCGCATTGGCAGATTGGTGGCATCGAGCGGCTCATCAGCCTCATCAAGGATCTGATGACGGTCTCGGCGCGCGAGTGCCCGGGAAGGTCATGCGAAGAGTACCAGGCGCGGGCGATGGCAGCCTACAGCGAGTTCGACCGGCACCGTGGCTTCTCACCGCTACAGGTGGCACTTGGACGAGCACCAGACCTCGACGGGTCCTTCATGGACGCGCCAGGTGACCCAGTCAACCTTCCTGCGCTGGAGTCGGAGGCGGTTGACGCTGCGTTCGGGGAGAACTTCAAGTTCATGCGGCAGGCGCAGGAGGCGATGCTCAGATGGGTCTATGCTGAACGTGCTCGCCGTGCTAGTCGTGCCAGATCGCGGAAGCTGAAGGTATACACTCCGGGTACATTGGTGTACTATTTCAGGAACCCGAAGAGCAGCTCCATGACGGGCAGGTTCTATGGTCCGGCTCGAATTCTGGCCACAGAGACGGTTCACAGGGACGGGGAAGTTCAACCCCGACCACGTGTGTGGCTGAATGCGTGTGGCCGCCTCATTCGCTGTGATCCTTGTCAGCTTCGCGACGCATCTGATCGAGAGGTGGCCGAGCACGAGATCATTCATGGTACCGAGATGCCGTGGACATTCAACAGCATGAGCCAGGGTCTCACAGCAGGTCAGTATGAGGACCTCGCCGACGATCCGCGCCTGATCCCGAGCGACGCGGAGTTTGTGGATGCGGGAGATGCACCACCATTGCCGACGGTTTCGCCAGCGCCGGAGGAGCCTAGGAGACGAATCAGCGGCAAGCGGTTACCGACGGAGCCTCACACTTTGTCCAAGCAGCCGCGAGATGGGTCATCTGCAGCGAGTTCATCAGCTTCGGCCTCTCAGAGTGTGGCGCCGGAGACGGCCATGTATCCTGCGACCCCTGCCAGGCCGCCGAATAAATCTCGAACGACTCCATCGAGACCCTCACCGTATGCCTCGGGCGGTCTTCCACCAGCGGCGGCGGCCAGCGGATATCATTACGGCAAGGAGCGGTCAGACAGACAGAAGCGACACGACCAGACAGAGGAGCAGGACTTGACCGCGGAGGTCCAGCCGTTCGAGTGCTTCTGGAGCAGGGAGGACCGCGCTATAGAGGTGGAAATCAGTCTTCCCGAAGGTGCGCGAGGTGGTTCTGCCGCGCGTGATCTGCCGGTGTTCGTGGCTACTCAACTGCGACGCCAGCGTGCGGAGGTTCGAGAGCGGACACTGTCGGCCGAAGACCTGGAGAAGTTCAGGAAGGCCATGATGAAGGAGGCGCAGGAGTGGATCAAGGAGATGGTCCTGGAAGGTCTACCGAACCATGTCACGGCTCCCAGCGACCGACTGATGCGCCTCAGGTGGGTCTTGACGTGGAAGATCGATCCCGCAGAGCCCGGGGGTCGACGTGCGAAGGCGCGGCTAGTGATTCTCGGCTTCCAGGACCCCGACCTCACCACCGAGGAGTCGCACGCGCCGACAGCGACTCGCACCGCCCGACAGGTGTTCCTGCAGAAGGCGGCGAACCTGAAGATGCGGATGGCCAAGGGTGACGTGAAGTCCGCGTTCCTTCAGGGTGAGGAGCTCGACCGGGACCTGTTCGTCAAGCCCACCGGCGAGATCGCGGAGATGCTGGGACTTCGCTCGGGTCAGGCGGCCATCCTGACGAAGTCGGCGTATGGACTGGTGCAGGCACCTCGAGCATGGCACCAGGCAGTGAACCGCAAGCTGAAGGAGCTGGGTTGGCGGCAGCTCGAGTCCGACCCATGTGTGTGGGTCCTGACGAGTCCTTCGACAGCGGGGGGCCCTGACTGCATCGTAGCCATTGCTCTGTCTCATGTGGATGATTTCCTGTTCGCCGGCCGTGAAGCGGACAAGATCTGGCAGCAGGCGCGACGTCAGGTGATGGAGGCGTTCCGGTGAACCGAGTGGGAGTACGACACGTTCACGCAGTGCGGCGTCGACATCACCCAGAGGTCCGATTTCGGTTTCACGCTGAGCCAGGCGACCTACACGGAGCAGATCGAGGAGATAGAGGTACCAGCTGAACGACGGAAGCAACTCTCAGCGCCGGTGACGACCGCCGAGAAGAGCCAGTTCCGGGCTGCCACAGGGAGCCTGCAGTGGAAGGGCACCCAGACCGGGCCCGACATCCTGGCGGAGTTGAGCCTGCTACAGAGCAAGACGGAGTCATGCACTGTGGACGATCTCCCGAAGGTCAACAAGCTGATCAAGCGGGCCAAGGAGACAAAGAACAGGGTGCTGGAGATATTCCCGTTTGTGGACAGCGAGCTGGCAGTTGTCGGCTGGGGCGACGTGGCGTTCAGCAACCGCGTGGATGGCAAGTCGACTGAGGGCCGCATAGTCGGGATCGTGCCCCTGTGCTTCCTGTCCGGCGAGGAGACAGGAGTTTCCCTGATCAGTTGGAGGTCAGGCAAAGTCGAGCGCACGTGTCGGTCCCCGCCAGCAGCAGAGGTGTCAGCCACAGTCAACACAGAGGACGAAGTAACGTATGTAAGATTTCTTCTGACAGAACTCTCGGGATGGAAACCCAATCTCAGAGACCCATGGGCCCAGGTTCGGAAGGTTCCCGGATGCCTGGTCACTGACTCCAAGAACCTGTATGATCGTCTACGCTGTCCAGAGAAGCTCATGGGGGGCAAGGAGTTCAGGACTGGACTTGAGTTGCTTGCTTTGAGGGACGGGATACTAGCGTGTGAGTGTCCTGTACGCTGGGTACACAGCGATGCAATGCTAGCCAACAGTTTCACGAAGGGCCACGAACGGTGGCAGCCAGAGTTGTTTTTCAGTAACAAGTGTGGGTGGCGTCTTGTTCACGATCAAATGTTTGAGTATGGTAAGAAGCGTAAGGGCCAAGGCATCCAGGCTCTAGAGAATGTGACATGTCTTGATTTCAGGCCCGACCTCTGGGGCGATGTGGCAGACCCCGCGGGCAAGTGACCCACGCGCGTTTCAGGCTTGTCGCTTCAATTATGGACTTGAGCGAAAATGTTTTGGACCGGTGTCGATTTCTCTCGGTTCGCCCTAGTGGGCAGTCATTCGCTCTGTCCATAGCCATTTGGGCTACAGGCCTTCAGCGGGGCCACGGGAGCCCCGGAGGTACGAGGACCTCCCTCGCCTTGCTTATTCTATCAACATCGAGCCCAATACCAACACTCCATATCCAATACCCTACCTCTCCCAGCTCGGCAGCGCGCGCGTGTTTGAAGGTGCCAGAGGAGCACCTCGTGGGGACCAGCATCGAGGACGGTTGCTGGCTGCGCGGAAAAGGAGCGCGCCCTGTGAAGCTTCGCTTCACAGAGGGGGGTGCTGCAGGGGGGGGGCCCGCTCTGCAGGGAGGGGGGGGGGCTCTGCAGGGGGGGGGGCCACTCTGGAGGGTGGGGTGGGGCGAAGCATTGAATTAGGTCAGAAATAGGTCGGAAATAGGTCGGAAATGAGGCCCCCCCCCTCGGCAGAGCGAAGCTTGAGCGAGCTCGAGCCCGCGCTCTCAGAAACTCACGCGCCGGATCGGCGGATTACCACGCCGCCTGAATTGAGTGCGTATTGTTTGCACGTGCCACGTTCTCTGAAACAGTAATGACAATGTTTGCCATAAACTGGCATCGTCACACGTGTGCATGCGTGAGCGCACGCGTGGTGCGCGTGCGCGTGCGTGCGCTTGTGTGTGCGTTCGTGCGTGCGTGTGTTGTGTTTGCGCGCGCGTGTTTGTGTGTGTGTATGTGTGTGTGTGTGTGCGTGTGTTTGTGTGTGTGTGTGCTTCTTCGTGTGTGTGTTGTGCGTGCACGTGCGTGCGTTTGCGTCTGTGCGTGCGCGTGGGCATTTCGCCTGAGCTCTGTTCGCGAGGATCAACATTCTGCCATGCATGAACGCCGCCATCATATATCCCTATATGAGAACACGACGACGACGACCATCGCAACCTCAAGTCTTAAAACAATATTCAAGTCTTGCAATAAACAGAACGTTTGTTTTAAGCCTTGGGCCACCCATCATGCGCCCTACGCTTGTTTTAGCAATCCCTGGTCCTCTGAGTATATACAGTGTATAGATGGCATCTGCGGATAGGAGGCGCGACTGGACCTGCGACGGCCTCATGCGTGATGTCATGCAGCCGTTGTAGGTCCAGTCGTCGTCGTCGTCGTCGTCGTCGTCGTCGTCGTCGTCGTCGTCCGTTTTGTTCGCGGGCGCGTTCGCGGGCGCCTCCGCGACGTGCGCGGAGGACTGCATGCCGGGCGGTGGCTGCGGGGCTCGCGCCGCTGGCGCGCTGGCGCCTCCGCGGCCCAGACCGCCCCCGATGCCTGTGATCGGGCGGCCTGGCGAGCTGCCCACTATTCAAGCTGGCGACGGGGCGGTCCGCGCCAGTGCCGCCCCATGCTCGCTCATTGGGCCAACGGCGACTTCTGCGAGGATGAGGAAGAAGGGGAAGAAGAGGGGGCGGAGGAAGAGGATGGGCGGGATTAGGAAGGGGGTGGGCGAGACGAGCGGGAACAGGGGGGCCTGGCGGGCCGGGCGCTGCCGCAAGAGATCTCCAGATGTCCGGGGCATTTCGTCGGGGCCCCTAGGAGGGCCAGAAGGGGCGCGGGGGGGTCTCGCGGGCCGGTCTGCCTGGCTGCCCCGCGCTCAGGAGGGGGGGGGGGCGATGGGCCCGCGGGCCCAGTATCTTGAATTAGAATCCTGCGCGGTGACTCTCACGCCCCCTGGCCATCGGGCCATCGCCCCCCTCGCGCCCTCGCCGCGCCCCTCTCCGCCCCCCCCAGTCTGAGATCGCAGAGATGGGGCCCGTCTCCGCCGCCCCCTCAGCGCGGCCCCCCTCTCGCAGCCCTCGACGAGCAACTGCGTGGCAGGGGGGTGTTGGCGGTGCCGACGCGCAAGGGCCGACGATCAGGGGCCTTGCTCATCGGCCCGGGCCCTCTTGCGAGGCGATGGCGGCGGCTTGGCCGACGACGACGTGAGCTGGGCCCACTTTTTGGCCGAGGCAATGCTGCTCGCGGACAACGACGCCGCGGACGACTCCACCCGCGTGGGCCGCGAGGACGGCGACGACGACGACGACGACCAGGGCGAGCCTTCGGGGCTCGACCCGATGCAGGCCGCGCTGGAAGCAGAGACGAAGAAACACGAGCTGGGCCGCGCTCTCAATGCTGGCGCCACCGACCCGATCCGCAAGAAGAAGTTCAACGACGCGACACCGCGGGCGTCGCCGCGCAGAACGCCAGCAAGAATCATCTGGCAGAGCGCGCCCACGAGCTGATCGCCGCCGCTGCCGCCGGCGCCGGGGCGGACGGCAGCGCGACCGAGGGCGCCGGGGGGTTCGCGCCAAGTTACGCGGGCGGCGCCGCCGCCGCCGTGGGCGACGCGGCCTGGGCCGCCGCGGCAGCGGGCGCCGTGGGCTCGGGTTCGCAGACCGCGGCTGCCGCGGGCTCCCGGGGCCCCGGGCCGCTGGCATTCGCGGCATGGCGCCTCGGGCCGACGGGATCCACGACGCGGCGCGGTCGTCGCTCCACGCGCTGGCTTTGCAGAGGGAGACCGTCATGAGGAATGAGGGGCATCCCTCGTGGAGTTCTGGTGCCTGGGAGATGTTGGAGAGGATTCGCCTGGCGAGCACTACAATCCTGCATCTTCCCTCGCCATCGTGCGCTGGGGTCGGCGTCGCCCCAACATGCTGCTCATGCTACATGTGCGTCGCCCCCCCGGGGGCGACGCGCGCGCCGAGAAATCCCATCGCATATGCGTCGTGGCGGGCGTTGTCTGGCCACGCCGCTCGGGAAACGATAAACTACAAGATGGGCGTGCTAGATGTCCGGGTAGGGCGCGCGCCTCCATGGAGGACGTATAGTGACAGTATGTCTCGGCGCGTCCCATGGGGCGACATCGGGAACTTCGAGGGCCGGAAGCTGCGGGCGGGCGACCAGAACCGCATCCTCTACGCCCCAAAGCCCAGGTCGGCTGTTTCCGAAACCGAGGGCGGCGCGACGTCTGGGGGGGCTGGGTTTGGGCGCCTCCCTGGGCGCTCGCTTTGGCCCAGTGCGCGCCCCTTGGCCAGCGCCGCGAGATTGCGCATTCAGGGCCGATGCGGCTTTGGATGTGTTATCGCGTTGCGTTGGCCAGATGCATGGCGCGTCGCCTCAGGCCTTAGGCGCCCGCCCCCCCTGGCTCTGCCCCGCCCCCGCCAGTCGGCAGCTCGCCCGCGGGGTCGCAGTCGCATGCAAGGGGGGCCGCTGGGTCGGATGGGCAACCTTTTCCAAAGTTGGGGGCGCGGGCCAGCGAGCCCGGCATCTCGCAGCTGGCGCGCGCACCGCATGCTCGCGCCATTGTCGGGAACACTGCATGCTCGCGTCATTATCGGGGACATCACAGTGGCTGCGTTCGCATGCGCCCCCTGCGCCCAGTTTGGCATTGTGAAAGGCAACTCCTGCTAGAGCAATAGGGCCGCCAGAAACTTCAAAGTAGCTCCCAAAGTAGGTTTCGGAGTAGGAGTAGAAGTACCCCCCGAGCATATGAAGTAGGTTGCAAAGTACCTCCCAAAGTACCCCCCGACGAGCAAAAAGTAGGTTCCGACGGGGGGTGGCTCTATTACAAGTAGTTGACTCAATGTCTGATAATGTATACCACCTAGTTTGAAACAGGTTGACCTTCTTAATTGGTTTTCTCAAAACCCTTTGCCTCCCCCTGATTGTCCGCCACCGTTGTTGCCAGGGTGAAGTGTTCAGCAGGCATGGTGCGGGCGCGTGCACAGTGTTCATTTTTATAACGCAACTCCACTGGGTGATGCGTGTAGTTGGATATGTTTTTGGGGTGCAAGGGCAGGTTGCTTGAGACGAGGGGGGGGCCCTCGTCGCCTCAATGCTACTCAAACAAGTTCGGTTATTCATTTGTTTGTTCGGGCCTGGCGTCGTCGGATACGGCCCGAGACGCTGCGTTAGAGGATGCGGCTCGGAAAGCTGGAGCGTTGGATTTGTGGGCGCGGTTCGGAAAAATGGCGGGGTTGAAACCTTGTGGCTCGGAAAACTGGGACTCCCTGATGGCGTTGCCTGGATGTGCAGCCATTTTGGCTGAAGCCCCCCCCCGCCGAAATGGCGGACGGCGAGGGGGGGTGGGCGGCCCTTGCCGCCGCCGAGGCGGCGGCGCCCGCCGCCGCGGCCGATGCGGCCTGGACGGCCGCGGCCGAGGCCGCCGCCGCGCCGCCAGCCTCCGCTGGCTGGGCCGCGCTGGAGGCGGCGCCTGGCGAGGCGGACGGCGCCGCCGAGGAGGAGGCGCGCTGCTTCATACCCTCAATTTCTTTATCGTTTGTCTTCCTCCGTCTCCTTCCCCTCCTCCTCCTTCTCCTTCACTTCCCTCGCAAGGCTGTCGCGGCCAGCGGCGGGGCAGCTGCCGTGGCCACCGGCCTCGCGGAGTGCGACGGCAGCGAGCCGTGCGGCCACGGGCTGCCCGTGGACGTGGTCCGCAGCGCGGCTGGGTCGCATGGCGGCCGCCGCAAGGCTCGGCGTCTCCTTCCCTTTCCTCTGCCTTCGATCCGTCCGCCATCGGCTCCCCTGCTCTTCTCACTCCTTGCCCCTGCTCGCCCCCCCCCCCCTCCCCCTGCCTCCAGCGGGGGCGGGGGGTAAGGGCGAGCAGGAGGCAAGGGGTGATGAAAGGCGGGGGTGAGATGACATTCGCTTCGCCACCTAGGCCTCGTGGTTGCCCTTGCAGCCTTTGCGCAAGCGGCTGCGCGATGCCATGGGGCCCGGGCGGCCGCAGGATGCTCCAGAGGTGTCGCCAGCAGTCGCCATCGCGGCACGAGCAGCGGCCGAGGCCGAGTACGACGAAGAAGCAGCGATGCTCTTCGGTGATTGGTCGGACGACGACCTTCCAGCAATCGCAGACGAGCAGGTCGACGATGGTCAGCCCGAGGCCGCCGAGCTCGCCGCCATCGGTGGAGGTGCAGCTCCTCCAGCAGTGGTTCCAGGAGACGGCCGTGAGCTGGGCGAGATCGTGGCGCAGCTGGTCGAGCAGACCAGCGCGATCATGGCTGCGAAGGGTGGCCTCAGCACCGAGGTCGAGAGCGTGCACCAGCGCAAAATGTTGGACTACTGGCTGGACTCGAAGAAGACGACGATGCCTTTCAACCACGAGTGCGACATGCTCAAGGTAGGGCGGCGGCGGGCCGAGGGGGTCCTTGAGGCGTCGGCAGCTGCTTGCACCGTGCTTCAGTCG